CCTCACATAGGTTCTGACTCCACGAGGCTGAGTCGGAGCATCGGTCGGCATGCCCAATTCCTCCTGCTGGGCGTTACTTTAGTTCCCGTACCTCATACAACTTCCCGATCTCGACATCCCGATCCACCCCGCCGACCGATCGATACGCACACGCACATGCTCTGCGCTGGAGTCGAATAATCTCCGGGTTTCTCTGGCAGCAGCAGTCCTTCTTTCCCTTCTTGCTTGTTCCATGCACTGGTCTTCCCGACGACACCTGCCGACGGCCACTTAATACTGCACTTGGCCAGTCATCTTCGCACTGCATTTCGTCCTTCCAGTTCAAAGTCTGATTCGCGACTAACAATCGACGCGAACCTAGACAAATCCACCCATTGTATCAATTTTCCACGCCAGAGCGTAGGCCTCACTGCCGACAGGATAGGATTGACGATGTCGAGATCAATCCAGCTTAAGGAGGAGGGTAACCGCCACTTTCAATCAGGCGATTATGCCGGGGCAGAGGCACTGTATTCTAAGGCGTAAGCACCCCTCTCCTCCCACCTGACCCTGTCTAGCATGTCAGGCGAGCTTAGCAGAAGCAAGTTGCTAACATGGACATCGGAACAGAATCATCGCCGACCCTAAGAATCCAGCGCTGTACACGAACCGCGCCATGGCCCGTCTAAAGCTCGAAATATGGGACTCGGTCGTCTCTGATTGCGAATCTTGCCTGGGCCTTGCCCCTGATAACCTGAAAGCCCATTACTATCTGTCCCAGGCCCAGCTTGCGCTGAAGGACTACGAATCGGCCCTTACAAATGCACTACGTGCCCATCAACTGTGCGTCCAGACTGGAGATAAGTCTCTTGCGGCGATCACAGCACAAGTCCTCCGCTCGAAGAAGGAGCGGTGGGATTGGAAGGAGAGGCACCGCCTCCGCGAAGCACATCAGATGGAGAACGAGATCGTCGAGATGATGGAAAGGGAGCGCAAGCAAGCCATTGATGACGCCATGGACGACAGCGAGAAGAAGGAGATTGAGGCGGAGTGGGACAAGAAGATTGAGCTTCTGAGAATGACGTTTGAGAAGAGCCGACCGGTGGAGGAACAGAGAGGCGAGGTTCCGGATTGGGCGATTGACGACATCAGCTTCGGCATCATGGTCGACCCCGTCATCGTAAGTTTGATTGCCATTATGGATCCTCGACCATCGCTGACTGGTTTCTATAGACCAAGACTGGAAAGTCTTACGAAAGGGCTTCGATCATGGAACACCTCAGGAGGCACCCCAGCGACCCTCTGACTAGGGAACCCCTTTTGCCATCCGAGCTGAGACCCAATCTTGGACTCAGGCAGGCGTGTGAGATGTTCTTGGAAAAAAATGGCTGGGCGGTGGACTGGTAACACGAACACACAAACTTCTTCTAAAGTTTACTTTTGGTGGTACGCCTTCTTTCAAGCTTGCATAGCACGGCGTTCTGGGATTCAGCGGGATACAAGTGAGTTAGTTATAAGAACAATCTCCACAGCGAGGCCTGGAGGCATCTATTTCTAGGCACTATGAGGTTTACTCGCACACTACTGCCATCGTGATGCCAGAGAAGCAAGGTGTGTAAATACGACGCCGCAATGCCGGCATCAATAATTTATTCACGGTCCTGCAGGGACTAGGAGCTACCGCAGCCCCAGAATCGTTGACGATTGTATGGGGCCGCCACGGCCCCACCACAAACGCTCTCGCTTGTCGGCCACCCGCCCGGGGTAGGTCAAAAGTTTCTCACACAAACAGGGCGTGCGTGGCACCGTGACGTCTCTGAAACTTCCCAATCGTGAAGAAGGAAACTTCCCAAAATTAACAAAACACAAAAGATGAAACTAGATGCCAATCGCTGACGGGAATTGAGCCCGACGTGGGGGTCGAACCCACAACCTTGAGATTAAGAGTCTCACGCTCTACCGATTGAGCTAGCCGGGCGACTGAACCCAGCTTGTTTGATGGTTGGGGACGGCTAATGCGCAAGTGGACTATGAAGACAGCATGACACAGTCAAACGAGCTAGTAGGTGTGTTCAGACGCCCAGCACCTTTTTCGGCCTGCGTTAGGCTGTGGATTTCAACTTTGATGCTCTGGATATTATGTCTACCGGGGCGTTTGGATTTGCTGCTTATGCCTGGCTCCTGAAGAGTCGGGAACTGACAGAACTCAAAGCAAGCTCAGGCTCAAGCGCCAGACGAACCACCAACGTTATTCCCAGGCGCTGACTTCAGACGAACCTCTATGCTTTACAGGTTGCCGCAACCTAGCTTCCGGCAGCTTTAGCGCCCAGAACTAGGCGTCCAAGGCATGTATTCCCAACCGCTGGTTCTTTCTTTTCTTCATTGGTATGTCCTTTGATCGTAGGCCTATGACCATGATTTGTGAGGAGCTTGATTAACAGCTGATGTTGTATTGAATTTCATAAGATATTCCTCTTCAACAGCGAATATCTCAACCAAGTGAATTAGCGGCTGTCAATTTAGTGCCTGCCCGTTGGCAAATTGAATAAATCTTGTGATGTACCACTGATTTTCTCTGGACATATGCATGTTTACTCTCTCACTCGTGAAGAAGAGCCGACATTACTTACCCCCGGCCACATCGACCTTACAAAACCATGGTCGTCTCAAGACTCAACGTCCTTCTTCTTGGGATGAAATGTGACTGAAGAAACACCGCGTCGAGTAAAGTCTCCCCCAAAAGTCCAATTGATGTAACCACCGTCTCCAAAGTTGACCACTTCTCCATCATGAAACACGAGAAGACGGTAAGGGAGTGCGCCATTGCGGGGGTCGGAGTAGTGGATAATCTTGTCCTCTTCTATCGAGTTACTGTTGAAGTAGTAGTCGAGACTGTCATGGATCACTAGCACGTTGTAGCGACCCCGATGTCGTTCTCGAAAGGCGTATTCTGCAAGTCGGCCAACCCATTGGTCTCGACGAATTTTGTCATTGTCCGAGGCGCAGATGTAGGCTGGTATCTCTGTCGAAACGTTCTTTTCAGGCACCCCTTGGAGGCCAGGGGAGGTCAGAGAGATTGGCCCTCGAGGCTTCGTAGAAAAGCGCCGGGAAAGCAAAACTAATCCAATGATGATGGCAGTGCTGAACAAGAGGGACATTGGCCAACACCATCTTGCTAAGATTGAAGGCGTTTCCATTTTACTGAGTTTGAAATAGCAGTGCTGGACAAGGCTTCCCAGTCTTGCAAATTCTGCAGGAGAGACAGGATCCGACCGTCATTTGTAGTAGCCAAGGCTCCGTTTCTCGGGCTCTCGGGCTTTCGGGTACGACTTCCACAGCAAATCGAAACCGGACAAGAAGCATCTGGAACGGATACCCCCGGTTATCATCAATTTGGCGGAGACCGCCTGCAGAAGGAAGGCCTATTACATGAAGTGTCGTCCATAATACCACACCGAAACACTCTTCAAATCAGGCGCGAGGCGCCCGCATGGCATGCAAAGTTGAGGCACATAAGAGATGGAGCTTTTTTATTCGTTCGTTCTTGTCACACGTTATGAGTTGTCCATGCGCCCAAGATTCAAATGAGGAAACAATGCGGCACGTCGAGATGGTGGTGGCCTACTAGATATTGGGGGCAATTGGGTCCCTCCCCAAAAATGACATGTTGGATGCTTATATTGTCTTGGCATGCGCTGGAAGAAGGCTCTACGTTCCGATCTTTCTGACCCAAGGGCCAAAACCAAATACTTTCTAAACATTTCTGTCCCGCAACCAATCGCAACCAAACGGTGTCAGTGTCCTCCTATTTCTGGCCAAACAGCATCACAGGCACTTGGCGGGCAACCTACAAGAACGCTCAGCATTCGACACAACAACCACAAGTAACAGTATCACAGAAACACTCGTTATCAGCTGTCTAAATAGCGCATCAATGAGATGGAGGTTTTCGCATTTGTCGCAAGTGTCGGCAGCTTCGGGGAGCTTCTGCTGAAAAGTTTCAGCGCCTTACATCGTCTGCAAACACAATTATCGGAAGCGCCAGATGTGATCAGGCGCATTTCCGGGGCCATGTTTCGCCTGAAGTATGTGCTGGGTGAGATACAGGCCTTAGGTGCACCAGAAAAAGAGCTCATCAGCAAGAAGCGAGATACTGGAGTCCCCTGGGAAGACCAAACTGCCGCTGTGAAAGCTGATTTAGAGAACCTGCTGCAGGCGCTGCAAAGACTCGAAAAGGAATTCAACAAGCCCACAAAGACTTCCAAATCGATACGGGCACGATTCAAAAAGGTCTTTTCCAACCAGGATATAGAGAATTTCGAAAAGAGACTTCTTGATCATCAGTCTTCCTTCACGTTCATGCTCAGCGTTGTACAAGAGTTCGTGAACTCAACATCAGGTTTCTGCTGACTTTTGGTGACCAAAGACTAATTCTTTCGGCTTTAGGAGACGTCAGAGAGAGTTGGTCTCTGAACTGAAATCTCAAAAACATCAATTGCCGCAAGCCTCTCCCATTGGCAGTGTTTTCCTTGTACAAGACGAAGACCTGGACATCGGGCTCCGGGGTATTGTAGCCAAAGGAATCGATAACTTTCCATGCATAGAGCTCGAAGAGTCCCGAGCAAGAAGCGTCGTTAAATCCACCTCGATTCTCGCAGAGCCAAAATGGGACGCCAGTGTCGTCAAATCGGAGCCAGGTCGCGTCCAAGGTTGGGACCACAATCACAGTCTTCTGGGCAAGGTTGAATTGATAGCCCACGAACTGACATGCTGCATTTTTTCGATTCGCATTCCAATCGGGATTATTTCTGCTCGTCGTATAACATCAACCACCACATCCTGGAGAGGGAAGGCCTTTCATGAACAGAAGAGTTGGTGCCTCGATGTATTTCTTTACCCGTGCGGCTTTTGGGCCAAGTCAGTCTCCCGATTATACTTTCAGAAATCCTGCTCCGGCGAGTTCAAATTTGTACCGAAAACGTACGGTTACAACCAGGATCCAGATCTTCGTCGACACCTAAATGCTGGAAATTCTTCGGCCATTCTTGAGATGTTTGCGGGAGGGCGAGCCCACCCAACCGATATTCTTGCTCCCTCAGGAAATTCTCTTCTTCATGTAAGTATTCAGAAGAGATGAAAGAAAACGGCGATGATGACAAGAAAACAGGAGATTATTGTCAGACATGGAAGGGGCATTGACATGCTTGGGCTTTGCCGGATCATTCTAGGCTCAACTAAAGCATTTGACTTGGACTTTCTGAATCAGCGCGGAAAGTATGACGCTCACGACGAAGCCGAATTACCGGGCGCATAACGATAGGAATGGCTCACTAACGTACACTTAGAACCCCACTCATGCAGTGTTGTCAATTCATGCTAGAAAGCAGCAAATCATATGAGAGGATGCAGCCGATGGCAAATATTCTCATAGAGAATGGTGCCGATCTCTCCATTTGCGACAAAGTTGGACAGTCGTCATGTCTTCTGATGTTCCAGATGCCTCAAGGATTCGATTACTTCGATGAGGTTCTGTATAAGTTCATTGACCTCGACATGCTTCAGAACCTCCGCCCGACAGATCTGTGGCTCGTGGCGTCTTTAGCACGATCAATCCCTTCCTTTAAGAGCAAGCTCGAAGCTGAGTTCCAAGGGATACGAACACCTATCGGGATCTCATCTATTATCCGTCCCCGCATCGAACATCTGCCCGAGCTGGATCCTCAAAAGCAAGCATCATGGTCAAAGAGTGCGTCCAGCCTTGACAGAGTCACTTTTCTGAGAACAATGTGCTCTTTTGGTACCGTAGACATGATTGAGCCCTTCCTCAAATGTGGCATTGACATCAATGAAACGGAGATGTCAAATGGCAAAACATACATTCGTCATGCGGCCAGAAAAGGAAACCTGGAAGTTGTAATGGCTCTTAATCAGGCAGGAGCTAGCTTGGAGCAGGTGGAATGGGTATCTAAGAGCACCAATCTATGTGCCTCAGTTTTGGAGGATTTGCTCGAGCGCTGGGCTTTAATCACTCAACGAAAGCCTATTCCCGGCATTCAGAGATCTTCACCAGACCCAGAACTTTGGACACTGCCGTGGCTTCTGAGGCAGCCGAATCACGAGAGTCACAACGCTTTATACGCCGCAATGGGATGGGAAGCACATCTTCCTCCTGTAATCGCGCCACTCCTAGAGTATGGGTATGTTCGGAGGGATGGACAACCCGCCAAAACAGACCACGGCCAAAGGTGCGGCTCAGAGGTGGTAGATGCAACGAAGAATAGGAAACCTTACTTTTAACAGCTATTAATGCCGGCCTCGCTCTCGAATGCGAAGATTGCCTTGGTATCAGTACTGTTATATATGCCGTCGACTTAGGGGAGCTTAGGGCACTAGAGATGTTGATTGAAGCCGGGGCAGATGTGAACCGGCAATGTGGTTTCGGTATTACACCATTGGAACTGGCGACCATCAACTTGGGACTTCCACGCCCGCGGGCGAGAACTCGAAGTTTGACATACATGCATATTCTGCCCCAGGATGGGATAGGTGTCAGCCTCGACACATACCAGAAATTGTATGATTATATCGTCAGAGCACTTAAGAGAAAGGGAGTAGTCATTACGATGAGCAGTACGTACCCGGATCATGATACGGTGTTTCAAATTCTTTGCTGACCCCAGGGCCTTAGATCCAGAAAACCGGCGTAAAAGCCACTATTTATTACAAGTTTTTGCGGCAATGATCTTTCTTTCTATTGGAATTGCTGTCGGATACATTGGTGGTCATGGTTCATCTCTCGTGCACAGAGGCAGTATTCGCCGTGGCGAGTTACGAATGTAAATTCGATTGGCAAAAGATGCGAAGCGGCTGAACAGTCCTGTTGGCCCCGAAGCAACATTCTCTGTCTAAGAAGGACATGATGTAAAGGAAGTTGCCAACAACGGACCCTCACATAATGCATTGAGCTACAACTCTTGAGTCAGCTGATGTTAGATACGTACTTAGAGTTGTCGGTATCGGTGCTCCCACAGGAAAGGTTTAGCTGCTATGAGAACGACCTCTGATAACCACAGAGAAATCTGGAGAAATTCACCATGCGAGTGGCGAACAACAAAATAAGTCAAATTGATGTCTACCTTCCCACTCAGCAAAGCTAATCATCATGCAAAATCCATGAAGGGCGACTCGGTGGACATCATCCTCAGAGCTCCTCAAATATTGAAGGGAGCTTATGAATCACCACCTGCTCTTCGTTCTCAACAGTAACCTTGCCGTGTTTCAGTCCTACGATTTGCTGAGCGATATCGTTCCAGAACTCGCATCTATTCCTCGAATTCTGGTCATCGGATGTCAGACGGAACGCCGAGTGGAGAAACCCCGGGGCGCGGACTTGGAGGACACTTCGCAGCCTATCGTGGTTCCCGTCCGCCACAGGCCAGTATAATCGCGTAGTTCTTGGTAGTTTATTCGGGTCTCCATTCATAGCAAAGGATGCGAGATATGCCTTGTACCGCGTCGCTACCAGGCCCTCAAGTACTTTGGCGTAGATCTTGGCCAGCAATCTGCTCCTCAAAACCTTGGAGAGGAGACCCACAACTTGTTGGACGTTGTTTGAGAAGAGAGGGATCAAGTCGCTGGCGTGATAAGCCAGGACTCTGAAAGGGTAGGCATACTCCATCATGTATGACCTATCGGAGTAGGCATCGTAAAGGTCTCGGGTGTTGCAGGTGAAAGTAGAATCTTGAATCACCTCCTTCAAACATGTGGTGTAGTTGTCGTGATGAAAAGCCGAGCATTTATACTGTTGACGTATCTGATCTCTAATGTGCGAAAGCTTCTCCCCGGGGAACATCATGGCCAGGTAAGAGTTGAACTTTGCCTGTGAGTCCATGCCTGCGGGTATGAATGACTGGGCCTCGTTGGCGCAGTGAGAGACGACAGTGGACCAGATATTATCCCAATATTTACCTATTTTGTCAAATCAGAGTCTTTCTTCCTACAAAAAGTGACAGACTATGATCACAGAGACATACCTTGAGAAAACGCGATTGTTGGTAGAGTCCTTATCCATTTGCCATCAACAGAGGGCCCGACAGGCGCCATGCCAGTCTGCTTGACCTTGCCGAAGAACTGCTGATTTGCTTCGATCAACTTGGCCGATCTGGCGTTGCGCAAGCAGTCAATGTCGTACTTGTCTCCGCAGCCAGCCAGTCCAGAGAACATCCGGTAGGCTTTGTCGAGCGCCCCGTCTTTGGAGTTGTCCCATTGCCACTCAAATGCGGGGCTTTGAACTAGGAACGTGTTGAAGTTGGGGTCTTTCTCGCCGTCTTCGCGGATCAAATGATGCATGATAGAACCAGCACCAGCCGACTCGCCCCAGGCGCTGACGCTGTATCGGTCGCCTTGGATTTGGTGAATGTATTTCTGAACCCACTCAAAAAGGAGGGCCTGGTCATAAAGGGCGGCATTCGGCAGCCCGCTATCCTCCATGTAGGAGCCTGCGAGCCATCCGAATGCACCTAGACGATAGTTGCCAGTGATGAAAATGGTACCATATCTTGATGCCTCAAGAAGAGACTGGCCTGTGTAAAGAGGACTGAATTGATCCTTGCTGCCGAAGGCGTACGCACCACCATAGAGCCAAACGACGACGGGGAGGCGCGTGGAATCCTTGTCAAATGCTTTGACTGGTACGTAGATATCAAGGAAAAGGCAGTCCTCATCCTCGATGATGCTGGTGTCGGGTTCTTCGTAAATCAGATTTCTCCCACCAGGTGGATTTTTGAGTCCGTTCGGGTTGATCTGGATGCAACTCCGGCCGCCTCTGCTGTCTTGAATGCTGTCGTCTTCCCAGTCGGGGAATGACGGTGCCCCGAAGCGTTCTGGCTTTGCGCCAAAGCGCACGTTTCTAAACACGTATATCTGTATGAACACAGATTAGATATCACAGGTCAGACACACATAATGTCTTTCTTTGCTCACATCCGCGTCTCCTGGAAATCGTGCAGCTTCCCAAGTACCCCACGGAAGCTTCAGCTGCGGAAGGTCATGCTCGGTCTTGGCACCGACGCACAACGCTAGAACTGCGAAAGAAAGCAGAACTTTGAGCATGATGGCAAAATGTGCACCCGCGATGCGGAGTGTCTCGAAGTTTGAGGTGGTGAATTTTCCATATGGTGGTCCGAGTGAGGCTGCTCTGTGCTTGCGCAAGAAGACGTTGAGCGATGCGCGCCCCTGGCGGCTTTCTATTCAAATCGGTCAATGTAGTGAGATCCTCTCTCCAATGCGACTACCTCTACAATTTCTCACGTTCATGAAGAACAAATTCCTGGTCGGGGATTTAATTGCACAATGGTCTGATCTTACATGTCCGAGCAGCCCTGGGATCAATTGTCTTGGACGTCATTCTTCATGGAGATGTGCGGATGTTAGTCCGGTGCGGGGAAGATGAACCTTGCCGCCTTTGCATGGAATCCAGGATGCCCAAGCTTGAACGGAGGGGAAGACGGGTGTCTGATGTCTTGCATTTCAGCTGGTGCCTCGGACAGCCCCCAAGTGAGAGGCGCGCAGTGAGCCACGCAGGTAACGGTGTCCACCCAGCCTACTACATATCAAGCGAGACAAGGACCATTGGAAATGTAAGTGAAATATCCTTGATTGGGAGAACATGCACTGCGCCCGAGTACGGCGTTAGACCAGAAGAACTTTGCCATATGGCAAAGTGTCTCGAATCTTGTTTTTCTCTTTGCGTCAAAGGGAGGCTTTCGCTCGAGACAATTTGCCCAAGTTTATGCAGCGCACATATTTGAAGCACGCATATTCCGATTCTGAGAAACTCCATGCCAGTTGGTGTCTTGAGTTCTCATGATGAGATCGTGTTCCCGAAGCCATCGCCGATGATCAACAGGGTGCGTGAAGAGAAGTAATACGGCATATTTTCACCAGAATCAAATGGTTCATCTCGGGTACCACACGGACGTCCAGTCACCAAAACACTTTACTAACAGCTGTCGACGCTTTCAATACCATGAATTTGTTGCCGAGGTGAGGGCAGATTGATATGTACTTTCTATCCCTGAAGTATGACCAGAAAAGAATTGGTGCACGAACGCGCTCCATCACGTAGCTTCGTCGAGTCTCATCGAAAATATTTAGGCAGAAGTCTTGCCACGGATGATATCGGCAGCCTGCAAAGAAGTAATTGTTAGCGGGATTGAATACTAGAGAACACTGGAGCGCAACTTACTCTCTCAGCGACAGCGTAAACAGTTGTCATGATGTGGGTGGCAGGAACCAAAGGCATGATAGAGGCATCGACAACACGCAGGCCATTGACGCCGTAGACCTTCAGGTTTCCATCAACGACACCGCCCTCCTCCTTGGCGCCCATCTTGCAGGTGCCGACAGGGTGGTACAGAGTTGAAGCCTGCTGACGAATGAAGTCGCCAATGGCCTCATCGCTGGTAACGTTGGCACCGGGAACGACCTCGACGGGAGACAGCTGCTTGATGGCGGAGGTGGCAGCGAGGGTGCGAGTGAACTTAACGCCCTCGGTCAAAAGGGAGACGTCCAGAGGGTTGCGGAGGAAGCCAGCGTCGGCGACAGGGGCATCGAATGTGCTGCTGGAGGAGGCCTTAACACTGCCACGGGAGTAAGGGTGCTGAAGGCCAAGCACCATAGCACCGTCGGACCAGATAACCTCAAGAAGAGCGGAGTCAGTGGCCAGAAGACGCTCGTTGAGCACCTTCTGCTGGGCCTGGTAACCCTTCACAACCTCGGCCGGAGTACCAGTAGGAAGGAAGGTCGTGCCGTCCTGAGAGGTGGCCTGGGTGTTCAGAGTCTGGCCAGCCTGGGAGTAGGTGGACAGAGGGAGGAAAGCCAAAAAGTCGCCGGTGGGGGATGCGAAGGGGCCAGTGTGCTGGCTGTCGTACTCGGCTCGGGCGGCGGCGGCGAAGGTCTCATTGCTCGTCAGGAGGCTGCTCACGGGCAGAGTCGTGTTGACTAAATCATCATGTTAGCTTCGCCGGCTTTTTGTACGCACGCACGCTTGGAAGGGAAGTCCTACTGGTGTTAACGACAGTCAGAAGAACATGATCATGCAAGTTCTGGCCGACAGCAGGGAGATCGACAACAGTGGAAACACCAATGCTCTGGTGGAGGGCAGAGTCACCGATACCAGAGACCTGGAGGATTTGAGGGGTGTGGAAGGAACCAGCGGCAAGAATGACCTCCTTGCTAGCGGTGGCAGTCTGGACATTGGCACCCTTGCTGGCGGCGAACTGCGAATCTGTTAGTCT